GTTGATCTCACAAACATTTCAATTCAACTTCTCGCTAAACATGAATTGCGTAAAGCACTCATGAACATAAACTCTACACTCTCTCAATATCTACTGAGAAAAGAAATGATAAAATCAATGAAGAAAAAATTATAACTTTGAAGTGTCGCAACAATTTTCATTCGCATTTATATACCCGCATGTCAGTGGTGATAAATTCACAATTTTCGATCGCAATTCAAGAGACAAAACGACGAACAATGAAACAATGAAAGACTATAAACTAACGAATACTATTACAGGACAGCATGAATATAATAAATCTTCATTCAGTTCAACTCAATCAAACCGATATTATGTTATACCCGAATAGAGTCATATTCACTCGAAAAAATAAAACACTGTTTGATCACTTGAACAGATATTAAACAGGGAAATATCGACGAAATAAGATGCCTATCGGAAAAATACATATGAATGGAACAAAAACTCACTTAGGGTGCGATAAAAAACTTACCTATGTTCGCTGAAATTTGTTGACTAAACTTTTGGGACAAATGTTCAATGAAAGGGAATTGATTCATAAAAGGGAATTGCTTTAGGCACTGAACGTCCTATTTCTGCTATATGATAATAGGCAATTCCAGTGATATGTATATTTATGCTAGTATACATAACAAGTGCGATGGACAAGAAAATCAGTCATTTGATGTTTGTTATACGCACTCAAAGTACATCTATCATTCATACGAGAAACCTTTCAAGAGTTTATGACTTATCGCGACTCAGAATGTGCTGATTACTACGGACTAATCACCTCTTGCGAAAGCAGTTCAAGATGAGATACCTACCGCTGTGAAACTATCGAAGTGAATAACTAAAGTAATGGAAATATGAAGAAAAGCAACGTTGACGTTCCTGTTCAGTACACCGAGAAATCGTTACCGACTTCCATCGAAATTCGCAACATGATAAGAAATCAAGACCATATCTCGCCAGAACTCGTACCACAGAATGAATCATATCATACCCGTATCAACGTGGTTACATTATTTTAGCTGTTACCTGCTGTTCACATCATATTTATATGGCACAACAACCACCAAATAGCCAAATTACATTGCTGAAAGAACCAGAAACAAAAAGACAACCCTTCAAATAAATAGTAAGTGCAGCTTGGAAAGATATCGCGAACATAGAAAAAAAAACGTTTTTTTAAGAAGATGGAATCAAATGAAAAATATCGCTTCAGCCAAAGTCATCCTCATCAGAATCATATTCCCAATCCGGTCGAATTGCGTTCTCATTCAGGAATTTACCCGAGTGAAGACGTTTTCGGAAACATTTCTTCTCATCACAGAACAACACTCGATCCGGATCGTACTGAAGCTGGAAAAGAATCAAAACATCATGGGCGAACAATATTCGCATTCAAGCATCTGAGCAACATTTCATATGAGGAGATCCACTTTAGCTGATTCATGAAATATTTATACAGTTTATAAACCAGCCAAATGAATGAATAATACGCTAAAGTAGAGATCAGCAAATAGTCTACACCAATGATTTTCGATCAACGCATCTCTTCGGCTATCTGGATGACTAGCATTCGTCCTCCTCCCCGCACACTACAGCAATTCATCGATTACAAGGATTACAACAATTGAAATTTCCGAGTAAAACAGATTTATCAATCACTTCTGTTTCCCATATGACTCTGTGAAATTTCAAAATTGGAAACGCTAGCTCCTATCAAATGAAACTACAGCGAATATGCGGAAAAATTATTTCAGTTGCACTGCTTTTAGAAATTGGTAAGCACGGACAGGAACGATTGTTTTGTTTAACACGGGAAGAGATAAACGAAATGAATCTTCGGAAAATGTGAAACAATACGAGCACATAGTCACTTACTGACTGCCTATAAACATTTGATCGATAATTGTAAAGTTTCAGTTGTCTCGGTTGAGGATAACTTTCATAAGCGTCGATAACACGCTGAATAGATGCCGCAGTAATACGGCGACTTGATCTAAAACGACACATTTTGGCTAACATCGGGTAGACCGTTCTCATCAACATAAAATTAAATCATTCAGTCAAGTGGCTTTACGAAGCACTCTTACCATTGGTCACGGTCCTCCTCTTAAGAACATCATTCATAAGCATATCCCAAAATTTAGTCAGTTTTGCTGTGCGATAAGCAAACAATTGGATGATACATTCAACATTACAACTTCAAAACGGAATACTTAAAAATACTTATAAGCATAATATTCGACTAAGAGAAAAATAAAGGCCATATTTAGAAAAAGAGAATGATTAACCTGATATTCAGAGTAAGTAAATGCATACAAGTGACGATCGGCTCAAAAGCGTCATCACCGAGATGGAAACAATTGATAAGTCCGAGAGATCTGAGTGTTTCGCACTGAGTATTTGCAACGATTCGCATTGTGCTTGCATCCGCCACACTGTTCACTAATGCTAATTTGCGCAGTGATAACTCTTAAAACGAACTTGCATCAACATAAGCGTCTGTAACATCGATATGTTCACACAGATATGCTATCAAAAACATTGAAAACTCGAACTAATTGAATTGCCACCTGCAGCTATGGTCACATAATGATCAGCGTCACAAATATAATAATATCATGAACCATCAATACCAGTGTTTCAATTGGTATCGAATAAGAAACGATTTGAAAATTGGATAAATAGAAGCACATGTATCAGAGAAAATCGCTGCACGAAAACTAACTTGATATGTGTGTGAGCCCGGCATTAAGATATCGCAACGGCAACTGTGTCAATAAGAGTGTCAATTCTCGAAGATTTGGACATGCGCGTAAATGCTGAAATTGGAAATGAAGACTCAGAAACAATTCAACCTGTTCGAACTGAGCCAACAACATCAACATGAGGTATTTCCAATTTTCACTTCCAACTGCACCGTATAAAAAATGTACGAAGAATCTCATTCATAATTCCATTGAATCTCAGTAATGAAAACCTATGAATGTGAACATCTAAGGACTACAGTGACAGTTGTTTGTGCCAATTGGAAAATAACGTTATAGGTTGAAACACTACCTGCATAAAAAATGTGTGAAAATAGCATTAGACGTTAATAATTTGAAAAGAACAACTACCTGAAATAGCTGAGTTCCTTTACAAAACTGAGAATTGATTGACGAATTCAAACAAAGTGTTATCGTGGTCAGTGAGCAGGCTGAACGATCAATCGAACTGATCACAAACCTAGCAATAAACATTCACTTTCACCATTTCCTTCCCGCAGCAGAACCGAATTCAAAGTGGATTGCAATATGGAATATCAAAATTTATCTTTGATGAAATCAGAAAAAGAAAGCGCCACAGAAACTAACATTCAGGAAATTCCAACAAATGAAAATTACAAAACGAAGAGGCTTGTTCATATGTGGATATATGCATCGGCCATAGGAGGTATCAAGAGCCAGCGAGTAAAAACTTCAACGAAAACCATTGAGACATACCTATCATCGATTCGATCATCGTCACTTTCATTGTTTGCAATCCGAAGCTTAGTGATAGAATTCCAACTTTTCGAGACAGCGTCTTTCAGTCGTCTACACGTTAACATCAAATTCAACCGATCCATAATATCCAGTCCTGGTGAACTGCACAATCGCACAAGGAACCTCTCAGGTAACATAGTGAAACACATCGTTCCATTTGTTTTTGGACTATAAAGAACACTGCTGTAACAACTTTACAATAAACAAACGACGCCGCATTCAGCATCCCAGCAAGGCCTCAACCAGCAAAACTTAGCTAACTATGCAAAAGTCCACTTGTAAAAATCCACCAACGCTAATAAAAAGTTGCATAAGAATCACCCTCCTGACTGATTAAAACACTGCGCCGCACGAAATTCGAATCATATTGTTGAATAATAAACATGTTCATTTTTGTATTTTCACAAAACACTATCAACAAGAGTTGCAATTTGTAGTACTCAACAAACAGTCAAAACTGCACTAATGATGAGAGCAATATCAAAAAAAAAACGCTCATAATTCTACAAATATTCACAGAATGTCATTATCGTTTNAAAAATTATTGTAATAACACTAAAACCTTGTAGGAGGAGTGAGTGAGATAGGAGGAGTTGATGGCATAACATCAGAACTGCACGCAACATCCGAACACTCAGCACCGCTACAGCTTTTCATCGTTGTGCACCTCTTATAAAATATACGATTAGCACTGTCCTAACACTAATTACACTGCGATACAAAAACGATGGCAACTACATCAATTGATTTTTCATGCACGTAATCAAATTAAAATCGATGCTGTCATAGGCATCATCAAAATCAGAAATATAAGTAAATGTAACGGAGCCGAAGCTCCATTACGCTGCCTAATTTTCACGGCCTTAACCATAAGCATAGGACGGTTACGGTGCAATACCTAATGCTTGACAACTTCCGAAAGAAATTATTCGACTTATCGGATGATGATCAAGTAATTCGATCACACTGCAAAAATATATCAGTTGATAGAGTACCACAAAAAAACATAGCTTCAGGAACAAGAGAAGATTATAGTCAGTTTGTTTTGAATAATCCAGATCGCATATGAGGTCACGATGTGGTCCCCATTGATTAAAGCGGATAAAGGACCATATACGCCTAAGATAATATTCTCATTTATCCGGATTATCATGACGAATGAAATCTGGACCAATGGCCAATCATTTTCTGACGACAACTTGTCATCGCATTAAAAGCAAAAGTAATTTTCAAATAAACAATCTCCTTACTGACCACCTCCGGCCAAAAACATAATTTCTAGTCAACTTCAGAATACTCTATAATTTGTTAGGAATCCGGATCCTCGCATTCCAGAATCAGCTCTAACTGTCAGTAAATTTTTACTATTGTACGCATAAACTAACCATCTGCTACGAAAAAACGAACTTCTACGCAAATCAAGATTGCGGTAGGTATGTGACAAGATTTTATCACATGTATGAAAGAGTGCATGATAAAATGAGTAAAACACAAGAATTTCTAATGAGAGATATTTATCTGATTTCATTCATATGAGACAGACAATTTCGTGCGACACAAACACAAAATAACAACGATAACAGTTATATTTACCTCATCCGAATTCATTAACAAACAACAACATTGCGATCATTTCAAGCAATTATTTCACTATCAATTCAACAAAACATTCTGCAAAAACGAAACGGAATGAAGCATTTGATGTGATAGAACCTTATTATCACGGTGTGGTACAACAAACAATAGAGGTTTCTTAATCGAATAAACCGAAGCCCATATCCTCGTCGGATTCCTCTTCTTTCTCCTCTTTTTTCTTCTCTTCCTTTTTCTCTTCGGCCGCAGCTTGACCTGCAGAGGCTGCTGCTGCTGCTGAAGCGGCCGGAGCTGCTGCTGCACCACCTAAACATTTGTTAATTTCTGATAATTTTACGAAGAACGAACTTATCAATATTAAACTGAATAACCAATTCACCCACTGAGAATGAACAACGATTGTTGAATCGCATATCCCCCTACATAACTGNCACTGAACTGAAAGCACATACCTCCAGCAGCTGCCGCACAAAGATATTGTGACCCTTCCGCAATCACGTCTTCGACCACCCTGCCGTGCATACTGTCGATGATTTTCGACGCCATATCATGATCACAGTCAACGCCAACTGAACCCAGAATATTCTCGATATCTGAGGTAGTCACGTGGTGCTTTCCACTCATTGCAGCGAGCATGTAAGCGGCGATGTATCTCATTTTCGTTTATACTTGTACAATCGATTAATTTTCTTACCTTCAAACGAACTTGAAAACATTAGTGAAATGCATAAAAACAAAATCTTCAACGAAGACACGTCTCATTGCCAATGTTGAACGACAGGGACGAAAACGTTATCGAGCATAACTAACGGGTAGCATACGATTGATCAGATAACAGACATATTTGCAGATCGGGTACCGCAGATAACGACGATCAGAATCACAACATCTCACGGTGTTTTGAAACATGGTGAACAACGAATACGTCAGCAACAAAATTCAGCAAAATCGGACTATAAAAGAAACGCACGACAATGATCGGAAAGGCTAAGAATGTGTACAAAAATAGTGGATCCGTATAACTCTGTTCTCAGTTGTCGAAATATTACATAATATCAGCCACAACCCTCCAACTATACATTCAGCAGACGAAAATAAATCATTCAATACAATAAACGGATATCTGAAACAAAGTTTAGATTTACTTTATCGAGGA